ATGGGCCGGGAACGCTGCCCCATCCCTGCCCAGGCACAGGCACAGCCAGGACAAGGGGGTATGTGGGCAGCACCAGCAGTGGGAGGAACGCGGCTTCAGGCTCTGAAGGGGCAGCAGGAGCCAGGGACATGTCCTTGTCCACCACGTGGCCAGTGTGCTCTGGGCATCCTGCACAGTGCCCGGGTTCACCGGGATGTGTGGATCAACAGAGCCAGTTTCCTGCAGGCAGCACCCATCAGAGATGCCTGTTTTGGGGATGATGTCACCACAGGCCAGGAGATCCCCTGCCACTCATCCTCCCTCACCTACCAGGCAAACAGGTTTCCCAAAATCCCAGCCCTTTCCTCTGGAAGAGTATTCCCCTGACTCAGAAACAGGGAGCTCCTCAGCAGACAGGGTAGCCCCACTCTGTGATGCTGCAGGGGTGACTCTACACCCCAAATCACTCCAAAGTCTTCTCACCTTCCCACAGCCCCCAGTCCTGTGCCCTCTCACCCAGCTCAGCCAGAGCAGAGGCTTCCTGAAACTCCCGGAGCCTCACCCGCTGGCTGACTCCCTGCCGGGGAATGCTGCTGGCCAAGCCCTGGCTCTGGGAGCTGGGCACCCCAGGGAGATGGCAGGGAACAGGGGTGCAGTGTCCCAGTGAACCCACAAACCCAGGGGACACCCCAGGATAGGGAAGGGGAACAGCCCCACTCTCACAGCTCTGTGGCTGAGCCTCCAAGGGGCTGCAGGAGCCCCACAGTCCCTTATTTCCATGGCACACAAAGGACCTGGCAGAGCAGGGCTGGGGCCACCCCATGACCTGCTCCAAAGGTGTCCTTAGGTGGCTTCCAAAGCCCCTTTCCCTGGCAGGGCCATGTCCCTGTGGGTCCCACAGCATTGCCCAGAGTGGACAAACATCCTGAGACTCCAAGACAGCCTGGCACTGGGTCCAGCCAAGCCTGTGGTCCTTATCCCCACAGCAGGGCCAGCCTGGAGCAGGGGGCACAGTGGGGAAGGGGCAACCATGAGCGTGGCCATGCTCTGACAGTGTTCCCAGTGTGGGCAGAAGCACAGAGGACTCGTGGCCGCCACACCAGCCCAAGTCAATGGGCTTATACAAGCAGGGCATCGACCAATCGCTCCCTGGAGGCAGAGCCCTGCTGGGTCGGGGTTCCTGGGTCCAGCCCCCCCAGTCCTCTGGCACTGGGAACAGCCGCCCTCCCTGCACTGATGGAAAATCCAATGAGCTCATGATGAG